ACTTGGGATTGTCCTGCCTCAGCATGTGTCACCATGCCCAGCTACCTGTATTTTTAGTGCATCTGGTAGAAAGAATGTATATAGACATTGGTCTTATCACCAGTTCAGACTGGGGATGTTCACTTGAGATTCAGGCAGCCAGAAGAAGAAATGCAGACCGGTGGAGTGGGTTAAACATCTTTTATTCAGCTGATTAGTCAAGAGTCTTATCTGTTTAGCCACTCTTGGGGGCCCCAGGCACTGTGCACTCATAGCAGTCCTTAGCCCTGTAGTCAGCCCATTCTTCTAGCAGTCCTTGGCTGCTTAGTCTCCCTTCTCACAGAAGTTCTTGGCTGCTTAGTCTGCATTTATGCCATAATACACCGAAGTGGCCGTGTGCTAGTAATGACCTTGGTTATATGAATTATATAATCCTGGCCAGCATCGACCGTGGCTACAGAAGTTATTTACTTTTGGGAATCTGGAGATGTGCCTGTGCTGGAGCTCTCTTGACACAGAACCTGCTGCCTCCCAGATCCCCTTCTCTTCATAGCCTGAACCAAAGAACCACCATATTGCATTTTACATTTCCCTACCGTGTTGGAAGGCCTTGATTTCATATTTTGTTTCAGATATATTGATTGATCTTGAGAAAGCTTCCTAACTTTAAGACTACAACTTCTTTCTCTGAAAAATGGAACTACGAAATCTACTTGGAAGGATCATAGCAAAGATTGGAAATAATATAAGCAAATGCCAGATATTTACTAGGATATTAAAAGTGCATTCCTTATTACTTAAACTTTCAACTTTATTGGCTTCTCCCAGTTTATAGGGCTTAGGGCTTCTTAAATGTTATTTACAGTCATTAAACTAATTTATGACATTAATTAGATAACAATTTGGAGAGATTAGTTCTTTATCTTCCTAGATGTAGTCTCATTCTTGGGATATTTTGTACATAGTCTACTGCTCTGTCATGTAATATGTAATACACTAGGAGGGATTTCAGACTCAAAGTAAGTTTGGATCACTTGAGACAATGATTTTGTCAAATTGCCAGTTAACTTCAGTCTGAATTATATAGGAGACAAGTATGTTTTGATTATAGTAGTTGAAAATAGAATATTGGAAGGATGATTTCATTCTAAGGTCTCTTTCATACTAAGTCATGCCTTATTATTTGTTTCTTAAGAATTTGAGGTGAATTTTAGGACACTTGAGATAGTACTAATAGAGTGTGTGTATTTGAAAAATGAGAGTTGTGACCCATTGTATTTTGGTAACACTGTGCCATGAAGACATGAGTGTTGGCTAAGCAGTATGCATCTTGCTGACCCTATATTCTGCCTTCTTTTTTTCTTTTTGAGTGAATTTTATTCTGTATTACTGAAAAACATTTTGTAGTTCCAGAGTAAAAGCTATAATACAGGCACATTGGGAGAAGTCTGGCCTTCGAGCCTAACCTCTCTCTTCACTGTTTTCTTCCTCCCCACAGGTAACATTGTTAGTTTTTGGCTTATTCTTGCTTTCTAAAAATATAAGTACATACACATTTATTATCTTCCTTCTTACTCAAAAGGTAACATCTTACTTACATTGTTCTCCAACCCTTTTCACTCAATAGCAATGTATGAAATGATAGAAATATAGTACAGTGAATTTTAAATTAAAGAATTTGTTACAGTAAGACAGATGGCCATTAATCCCCTTCACAGTACTCCCCCTTCCTTCAAACACATTTATCCCACTGTTCTTGCCACTTTCTGAAGCAGTTCTGGGAGTCCCCTTTCGAGTTTTTACAAGATGTGATCAAAAATACTGAGTACTACTACAGAGTGACATCCAACAGAATGACAGGTATCTTAGTTAATTTTTATGTTGCTAAGACAAAATACTGAACACTCGCAGTTAAATTAGTTTATTTCAGCTCACAGTTTAGAGGTTTCAGTCCATAGTAAGTTGGTTCCAAGGCAGGGTGGCATGGCAGAGGAGCATCACAGCGGATAAACAGTCCATAGCAGGCAGGGTAGGCAGTAAGCAGTGAAGTAGTGAAGCAGCAGCAATGAAATAGCAGAATCTGCCTTCGTGTTCCTATCCAGGCTGTAAGCCTATTGATTGGTGCCACCCACACCCAGGGTGAGGCACCCTTAATCCCAGCATCACACATCCTAGATCCAGCCACCCCTGAAAAGCCCCACCTATGACTCCATGAGGCTTTGAGGGGACATCTAGATATAAGCCATTGCAGCAGGCTCAAAAACGTATGGTGTGTCCTCATCCACTGGATCTGGCATCTTGTGACTTCTGGCTCTTTCCTGAAGTCAAAATGACTTCGAAAGGTAAACATTTTGAGTCAGTCCACAGTGTGGGAGGCATGCCACAACAGCACAACTAAAGACATGAAAGAGGACTTCCAGAACTGTTTCAGAAAGTGGCAAGAACAATGGGATAAGTGTGTTCAAAATGAGAGGGAGAAGTTTGAGGGGGATTAGTGGCATTGTGTCTATTACTGTGGTAAACTTTTGAAACATTCACTGCTTTTGATTACACCTTGTATACATCTGTTTATACCATTTTACAGCTGCATAATAGCTGTGCCATACTTTGTCAGGTAGATGTTCTATCCTGTACTGATATTTAGGCTGCTTCTAGTTGTTTGCTATTACAGAGAGTATTTTCCCAGTGTATCTGTGGAGTAGAGTCCTAAAAGTGAGATTGTAATTCAGAAGATAAATCCAAATGTCATAAATGGAAATTATAACAGTATTCATTCGTCTTAACAGTGCATTAAGCCTCGAAAGTGTGAAGACCCAAGTTCAATCCCTGGTACCAAAACAAACAATGCATTAGAATTTGTTTCCTTACAGCTTTCCTATGAGTATTCAAGACTTGGACTTTTTGCTAATCTGATAGGTAAGAAATGTGATTATATCAGTATAGTTTTAATTACTATTTCTCTTATGAATGAAGTTAAATATTTTTTCATTTACATGTTCTAAACTGTCTTCAGATTTATGCTTATTTTTTCAGAAAATATTTCTTGGTTATTATTGCTGGTACTATCTTGAATTACTCTGAGTATTTCTCTCTGGTGGTGGTAATATCCATTGATGAAACAGTATCACCAGGCATGTATGATTTAAAGAACAGAGAAACAGAAGACCTGTTTCTTGATTCAAAGAAGTCAGGACCTAGTTTAGGTAAAGAAGACTTCCATGAAAATCATGGTTCAGTGAAATAAACTCTAATGGAGATAAAAACTAAGGGTTGTGGGAGCACTGAGTTTGCAGTGGAGTGACTGGGTTAGAGGGATGTTACCGGAAAATCATTGCTTACTGGTTATTTGGATGGAGTGTTTAAGAAAGGAGAGATTGCTAGGCTCACCGTATGGCTAAGAGTATTAGAATCAGCTAGAGGAAGCGACCAAAGAAGAGCGGTGTCTGAGGATTCTTGGGTTTCTGGTTCTGTGGGGGGTGGTGAGGGCAGGTATTGAAGCTGCAGCTAGACTGTCCGATGATCAGGATTTGATATAGGTCTCTGGTTCTTGCCCCTGAGCCCTCTTTTGTTTACATTAACTTTAGCAATGCCAAGTTGAAAAATTTGATTAAAAGAGTATTTCTGTGTTTCTAATTTTCTTGCTGAGGCATGATCCCCTCTTAATAATCTTCCTGCTCCTTACATATTTAGGGAAAGTTGAGAGGGGAACTCTGGTGACTGAATAGAATTTCTTTCCTTCCTTCTCATTTTCTTGTGGAGTAAGCAGTCTTCATTTATTACTTTTACATTCATCCTTACCACTTGCTTTTAGCCAAGTTCAAGGCTCCTTCTTTAGTAATTTGTTTCATTTGGCCAAGGGAGAAGGATATGCCAAAGTGGAGGTGATTGAGAGGGAGTTGATGAGGCTGGCAAAGTAGGCAAGAGTTAGGTTAGCTTTGTGTTTCATTTTGAGAAATATGTATTTTATTTTAGGGTTAGTGGAGAGCCTCTAAAAATGTGACATGGATGGACAGAGGAAAGGGATTGAAGGAAGAAAATGACAAGATTAACTTTGCATTTTTGAAAGGTAACTCTGATGGCATGTTGAGGAAAGTGGATTGGAGAAAGTACGGCATAGGTAAAGAGCAGTGATTTCCAAATTAGCAGGAGCAGGATTACCTGGGAGCTTGTTAGAAATACAGGATTTTTTAGGCCCCCACTCTAGGCTTACTGAATCAGGAACTGGGGTGTGATGCAGCAATCTGTGTTTTGATTCTTAGGCATACTAGAGTTTTAAACTAGAAATATGAAGGCCAGTAAGGGCACATCACATTTGGTAAAATGCTTTTCACATGAATCACATAGTTGATTTTGCTGAGATAGTCATTATATTTGTGTTGTACATTCATAATCAAAAGAAATAAAGGTCTAGGATTTTGTTATTTATTTTATGAAAGCCCAGTATTAAAAGATTTGAAAAGCTGAGATAATGTGCTAATGTATTATACTTGGAAAAAGGGAGATACTCTAGGATCACGTGGGGAAATAGGCAGAGAAACTGGAGTAGAATAAAAGAAGTGAGAGGCACTTAATCTTGAATGCTATAGATGTTGGCTGTATATGAGATTGACTTGTAATCAGAAAACTGATTGAAGATATTATAGAAAGGGGGAACACAAACTCCTTGTGGAGCCCACAGGAAAGGATGGTGGGTTCATCCAAGATTTGTTCAGATGCTCTTGTGCAATTGGTCCACGCAGCTATTAGAAGACTGCCTCCTTTGAGTCTCTGTAGAGTAACTAGCAGCTGATTTGCATCTAACCTAGTTTTGTTTTGTTTTGTTTTGTAAGGGTGTGAAAGTTGTGGGTTTTAATTTCACCTTTGTTGAAACAAGATTGAGTACAACTGATAATGTCCCATTGTTTTCCTCTATTAGCTTTGCTGGGTGACCAGAAGAACAGATAAAGCAAATGTTATGTAAATGTAAAATGTGTGTTTTAAACTATAAGTAATCTTTTTTTCTCCTTCAAATTTTATTTCAGGATCCATCAGTTACACAGGTGACAAGAAATGTTCCACCAGGACTTGATGAGTATAATCCATTCTCGGATTCTAGAACAGTAAGATTATTCTTAATTGGACTACTTTAAAATGTATAAGTGGAAGTTAAGTAGAAATTATAGTTTAATTAAGCTTTCTTTTTTATTTGATTGGTCACATTTATGTAAAACAAGCTGTTAATGTTTTAGAATTAAAGTTTTATATTGTTGTTGGTAGTTTTTTTTAACATGAAGGACTCAATAGTAATTGAAAATTCCCGATTGGTCTTAGGGAGACACTACCTACAGTGGTGTGCTGGGAAGTAGGGTGTATTCCTCACATACATGTTGTCTTTATGGTAAGGTGGGCAGTTCATTCTCACAGTGGGACACTGTGGAACTGTGTCCTGTTGTTTGTGTATGGCCGTTTAAATCAGCCTGTTCTTTTAGGACCTATCTTACATGGTGGGGCAGAACCTCTGGAGCTTTATCTGGTCTAGGGAAACATATTCTTCCCCTCAAAATTTTAGTCTTTCTAAACACATTTTTTGGTATATGTTTGCAATGCATAATTACATTCATCATGGGAAATTGTACATGTACATATCCTAATCATTTAAAAAATTTTTAAAAATTAGTACATATTTGTCATACATAATGATCACATTCATCATAGGAAATTTTTCCCTATACATGATATACAGTGGACCCTCGAGTTACGACTGGGCTTGACATATGAACAACTTGGGTTACAACCAGAATTTTCGTTTTAACTAATGAACAAAATCTTGAGTTACGATCCGAATGCTGGCCTCTTGTGCTTCCAGATGGTCTCAGATATAGATTTAACCCTTAAATAGTTTTTTGTTTTGTTTTGGGTTTTTTTTTTGGTACCAGAGATCGAACTCAGGACCTTGCACTTACAAGGCAGGCATGGCACCACTGAGCTAAATCCCTGGACCTCTTAAAGAAGTTTTAGAAGGAATATGACGACATCCTTTCCTGTATGGGGTTAATTGAGAAATCCTGGGCCGGTGTCTCTCTAAGGACACTGAGATCTGCTTGTATATAGGAGAGAGTCTTTGAAGCTGTGTAGAGGAGCCCGAGCCTTCAGTTGACCAACTTGAACTACAACCAGCCCTCAGGAACGAATTGAGTTCATAAGTCAAGGGTCCACTGATTCTTTTTCTTTTAAAATACATCTTAAATATCCTAATCATTTTTACTTTTCCTTCCTCTCCCCACCCTCCCTTCCTATCTCCCTTTCCATCTCCACAAAGTCTCCCTCTTTGTTTCCTATTATCTCTCTTTTATTTTGCTTTTTATTTATATTTTGGGTTGCTTATATAAGAGAAGCCGTGTAATATTTAACCTTCTGTGTCTGATTTATTTAATAGCATTATGGTCTCAAGATGCATCCATTTTCCTATAAATGATTCAAATTTATTCTTTATGGCTGAGTAATATGTGTGTGTGTGTGTGTGTGTGTGTGTATACAAACACACACACACACAGATTGTCTTTATGCATTCATCTGTTGATGAGTATATGGACCATTTCCAACATTTTTCTAGTATCATTTGTGCTGCTATAAATGTGAATATGCATGGATCACTGCAATATGATGTCTTTAACTCTTCAGGAAGATTCCTCGACAAGGTATAACTGGGTCAAATGGAATTTCTAAAGTTTTTTGAAGAATCTTTAAAATGTAGTCTTGACTTGTAAAATGTACAGGTATGAAAAAAATCTAGACAGCAGCTTGCTGCTCTGGATGCATGTTAAGAGCACATAACAGACTTGCTTATGCTCTCAGTAGGGTCATAGTCTTAAGTAAGAGCCTACTTTTAAACGTTTTTTTTTTTCTTTTTGGTACCAGGGATCGAACTCGGGACCTTGCGCTTGCGAGGCAGGCGCCGGAACCACTGAGCTAAATCCCCGGCCCTCTTTTAAAGGTTTTTTTGATGGTTCTGTCATGAACCAGATTTGAGAACTATTTAGGTAGAGTCTGTTTAGAATTATTTCCAAAATTTGGCTGGAAAATAATTTTGTTTTTATTATTTGTGTCTTTACTTTAGACATCACCCTCATGAGGTCCCTATCTTTAAACATTCTTGCCTCTTAAAATGTTAGTCATCCTCTACTGAAGTTCTTCAATTGTGTGCTTGGATTTATATATCATTATAATGATCCTTAATTGTTAATTACCTCTTCCTGGTACTTTTTTTATGTAGTTTAGAAAATAATTCCAAAGGGTTATGCAGAGTTTTTCTTGGAAATCTCCTTAAGATATATGATATTAACCCCCTTAGTTTTAGGAAGAGCTTTGTACAAAATTGTAGTAATGGTCTTCCTTCTTAGTTCCTGTCACACAGCTTTTAAAACTCTTGGAATCTCCAGATATATGATAATGAGATGACTTGGTGGCTTGGGGGGGTACTAGATAGCTTCTGCATGGGCACTGGTCACTGGAAAATACAAGCTTAACAAGAGACTAGGAACTTTAAACCTGCCAAGAGAGGGGAAGAGAAGGAGTAGAGATTGAGTTAATCATTAGTGGCCAATGATTTAATAAATCATGCCTATGTAATAAAATCTCCATAAAATATCAAAGAAGGAGGGTGTGGACCAGAAAAAGAATAGTAGCTCTGGGGCTCCTCCTCCTTCATCTCCTCCTGTCTCTTCCATTTGGCTGATCCTGTATTGTGTCCTTTATATTAAATTTCTTATTTATAATAGTATAGTAAGTTAACTGTTTTCCTGAGTTCTGTGAATTGTCCTAGAAAATTATCAAACCTGAGGAAGGGGTCATGGAAAATGGCAGTTTATAGCCAGTTGATTATAAGTATAGGTGGCAACCTGAAGTTTGTGGCTAATGTCTAAGGTGGGGCAGCCTTGCACTGAGTCCTTGACTTGTAGGATCTGTGGTAGTCCCAGGAGATAGTGTTAAAATTGAACTGAATTGTAGGCCATTCAGTTGGTGTCTGTAGAGTTGGGGTATTGGGTGTGTCTGTGTAAAGCTCCACACCTTTGGGTAAAAGGTGTTGTGGGTAAAAAAGTCCAAAAGTAAGCACATTGAAATCAAAATAAACTTTTAAATTTTACTTTATTTAAAAGGTCTTGTTTAAATCAACAGCTGTTGCTTATATGTAGCAACTATATTTGAGGTTGGGATCACTGAGATGCTTGAGCTGGTTGAACCATGTGAAATTGTTACCAGGTTCTGGGGTGCTAGAGTCTTCTGGAGGTGGTTTCTAGGTTCTTGTCTGTCTTGAGCACAGAGTTGGTCAAGTTAAAGCATACATAAAGTTTACCTTTTTTTTTGTACCAGGGGTCGAACTCAGGACCTCTGTGCTTGCCAAGCAGGGGCTTTGCCACTCAGCTACATCCCTGGCCCAGTTTACCTATTTTTAATACTGTAGAAACTGTCTCTACACTTTTAATTCCTGGTTTTATTTTCTCTTGCTATGTATTTTCTTTCCCCTCTGCTTTTTACTCTTGTAATTCTTAAGCCCTTCTAACCTAGCCTTTCTGGAACCAATTTTTGTTTCCAGGCTTATTTAATGATACTGTTGCCTTCTATCCTCCTAGTGTTATTGACTAGAAATACCTGATTCTTCTGGGCTCAAATAGTTTCTTTTCCTGTAGCTAATTAATTGCCACATCCTGTCACTTATATCCCCAAGAGGTACTACCTGCCTGTTCTTTTCATTCCTAGTTGTCCTAATTTAGACACCTGTGAAATAATAAAATAGCTTTTCCATTTAGCTTCCTCCAGTCTCTCTCTCCTTCAAACCACTTTATTGTACTGTGACTAGAATTATTTGCTTTCTTCTGTAAATTAAAAAAATTTTTTTTCCAGTATTGGGGATCAAATCCAGGGCCTTCTTACTGAGCTACGTCCACAGCCCTTTTAAAAAAATTTTTAAAATTCTAAGACAGGGTCTTGCTAAAAAGACTTGACTTTGCAATCCTCCTCCTGCTTTACCCTTTCACAATGCTGAGATTACAGGCATGCAACATCATGCTTAGTTTAGAATTATTTTCTGAAGACAGGTCAGATTAGGTCATTTTAGAAATTATTATCCATTGCCTGCTTAGTAGTTTGCCATATGGGGCTGTGTAGGGCTTAACCTTGGCCTGCTTTTTTTTTTTTTTAATTTTAAAAGATTATTATGGATTTTTTTTTTCAAAATCAAATTATTTTGTATTTTGCTACCAGTAGAAATAAGGGCTTGTAAAAACTTGGATTTGGTCAAGGAATGATAAGAAAATTAAAATTTGGCCCATCAGCCATAGAAATCAAAGAATGAGGGCCATGTGAGGCTATTGTGGACCAATGAAAAAGTTGAACACATTGATACAGGTGCCCTCCAAAATCATAATAATGCATGGGAGAACTTTGGCACCTTCACAGGGTATGCTGTGTAAGTACAAAGCAAGTTCACCCAAATTTTAAAGAACAGGATGGCCTGAAGAGATTCTGAGTCACTGTAAAAAGAGTGCATAACACCTGGCAGGAACATTCCCTGTGCTGTGTCTCCTCAGGATCTGAAGGCCTAGCAGGTAATTAACATCGTCATCACTGTTCTACCAGATGCTCCAGTCTGTCTTCAAAGTTATCCTTTACTCCCTCCTTCCAAGTCACACCCTGACTTGGAAATTCATTAAATTGATCTTCTATTACCCTTGAGGATACCCTTATTCTGTTCAGCTATAAAAAATGAGAAATTAAAGACATTTGTAGCTAAATGGATGCACATTGAGGTGATCCTCTTAAGTGAAATAAATAGGACACACGTGTAAATACCGAATAGTTTCTCTAGTGTGAGAAACTGAAAGTGTAAATAAGGACTAAATGTATAGTAGGTCATGTGAAATAGGAAGAAAAGGGGCAGAGGGGAAGGGGAAATGGAAGGGGTAGGGGAAAGGAAAGAAGGGAATGGAATTAATATGAGAAAATGAAAAAATGGAAACAAAGTCTTTGTAGATAGGGAGGGCAGGGGAAGGGGGAAAAAATAAGAACCAAGAGAGATTATGTAAAGGTGCAAATTTCCAATGATGAATGTCATTGTATTGTA